ACTAACTTTATGAACCTATATTTTGAGCATGAACTTAACCATATCCAGCTTCCTCCTCCAGCAACCTAAACAAACAAAAACCTGGGAGCTTGATTCAGTAAAATTAACTCTGTGTGTGTGTTGGGGGGTAATATTGAATGGTAATTAATACTGTAGCACCTTTCAAAGATTGATGTATTTTGATCTGTTTCTTAGTCTCTGGCTAAATACTGTTAGTGAAGACTGTTTATCTGGTGAACTGCTTATGGTTATGATGCCAAAGAATTGCACTGGCTGGGCTGGCAGAGTGATCATAAATTGGCCTCAGGCAGAAGGCGTCTTCCATAACTTTAAATTTTATTTAATTATCATCTGTGAGTCAATAATTTGGATATGCACTGAATGTAAGTATTGTTAATTTAAAATGTGTCTCGGAGTATAGAGTGGTGTGAACAAGGTGAAACTATAACTTATGTAATGTCATCCCTTTTCAAAAACTTAATTCAAACACACTTGTAAATGTAATCTTAGTGAAATGTTTTTTCTGACGAATGCGGGTACAGCTAGACTGCGTGATGGGGACTGATGATGCCGTGTGGCACCACGGGTGCTGCCGCTGCTGCGTGTCCACGTTAGCAAGGCACGGAAGCCTGGCTCTCCCGGGATGGAGAGGTTGTCAGCACAGGCTTGGACCCTGGCATGGCTGCTTTGCCTTTGGACCCTGGCATGGCTGCTTTGCCTGTGCTCAAAGCAGACTGACAGCCAGGTGAATTGACACCTGAAGGAAGCGTGAGGCAAAGTGCAGGTCAGCTGGGTTTAATTGGAGTAAATGCACTGTGAGCAACTTTTCATAGTTGTTTTTTGAGGTTCTGCTGACATGAATGTTAGTTCCTAGGTTGACATAATTGGTCCCATTTATCATTTCTTTAAGTCAGTAGGGTATGGACCTCTGATATATCATGCATGCACACTGTCCATGCCAAAACAAAGAATTCAAAGGAGCAGAGCTGTTTGTCAGAAATACCACGCTGTTAGGCATGTTTAATGGTATGATAGCCTGGCCAACTAATGGGAAGATTAGACAACAGTCTAATGACAGTGCTGATGTGCTGTGAATCTAGGTTTGCACCATGATTTAAGCCCCTAAATTTGTCTATGTATCCAAGAGAACAGGATATCCACTGTGCAGCACCTTAAGAACATCTAAGTTAGCCAGGGACAAAGCTGAAGAGAAGGGAGCATGAGAAACAACAATAAAGCCATTTGTTCAAACACTATTAAAACAAGACATGATACGGGTCAGAATTGTGATGTATTTTTCAAAAAAAAAAAAAAGTTATTTTTCTACCAAGTGTAGTACCTGCTTGACACTGGTGTACAGAAATAATACTAAATTCTTCATATTTCACACATTTTTAGTTTTTTTAGTGCTTTTTACATGTTTTAGCTTTATCTGTAGCATAAAATGTTTTAATGTATCGATTTGTGATGCCATATGTAATTTGGTAAGGGCTTCCTAGCATTTATTAACTATGTACCGTAAGAATGATTGAGGCTACAGAAAAAGAAGAGTCAGTGTTGAGAACAAGCCTGTAACATTTTTGTTTTTAACTTCATTTCTAGCACCCGGTCTCACAGGAGTTGTTGGAGGGCGTCCGCGAGTGTAAGTTTAGCTTTGATCGTTGAGTTCTTTTTCCACTGTTCAAAACTACAATAAAAAAGAAAGCAACTGAAAAGTCTTTCAGTTGCATATTATGCTCAATAATTAGTGATAAGATGAATATTTATTTTATATGACACTTCTATAATTCTGTCATGGATTCAAGCTTTCATGTCTCAATTTTACCTCCAAATGCATGAGGTGGTTAAGGATTTTAAAAAATAAGCAAAAAAAAATGCACATTTTTGGTTGGTCATTCCTGATATTAGAAATGTTTAAGTAGATACCATTTAAAGTGTCCTTTTTTCTTTCTCTCAGTGGTCGTGTGTGGTGTTTTGTTTTTTTGTTTTACAAAATCTTGAGTGTTTTTTAATAATGAAGTTTAAATAAAGCTTCATAATAATGAAGCTTTTCAGGCTTATTAAAGTAAGTTGTTTGGAAAACTGTTACTTAATCACAACTAAGTAGCTTTTAAGTTTTTGATGTTTTGTTTTTTCTCAAAGTCTGACTAATCTAAAGATGCATGAACTGATGTTTTAACTAATTTCTGATTAAAAGGATTTATGCTGGTTGTTTTGTTTGTTTAGGTCCCCGGTTTTGAAACCATTCTTCTTCCTTTATCCCAAAAGCAATGTCCAGGTAAGAGCTACACCTTAACAGCTCCTCTGTTCTTGTTGAAGTCATTTACAAAACCTGTGCTGACTTTGGGATTTTTTCAGTGACAATTTGAGTGTTCAGGATTGTGACATTTACTACTAAATTACGTTACAAAGTATTTCCCAGAAGCTAATGCTCCTTGTGTAGACTGTTTTTAGAGCCCCTAATATATTCATTTTATGTTTTATTTATCAAAGAGCATTTGTAACAACAATCAATTTGCCTTAAGACAGAAACTAAGTATTCACTTTTAAAGCAAAGTAGTACATCATTCAGGACTCCCTTGGTTTTCCACAAAAATCACATGGTCAGTGACATTAAAAAGCAAAATAGGCTAATTCATTTCAGAGTTAGAAACTGTTTTTTTTAAGATTTAAGATTTTGGATTTCAGTTTTAAGATTCTGGATTTCAATTTTAGTATTTACTGATAAAAATTGTGAAGCAAAATTCTGTACAGTACTGCTTCACTTAGAGGAAAATAGGGAGGAGATTTGTTGTCTCCTAAAATTCATGAAACTGCATAGAACACTTTGATATACAGCAGTATGTTTGTTTTTTTCTGTTACAAGAACTCTTTTTTTATATGTTTTCCTCTGTTTATGAAGCTATCTTCTAGGAGTAAGATAGATTGCTGTTGTTATTTGCTATTTAAAATGGGTCAGAGGGGACACATCCATAAAACCATTACAAAAAATTTGCCAGATCAGTATTTAATCAGAATATTTCTGATTCTGATTATTATACACATGCTACACTGGATTTATCTAGTTAGACAGTTTTAAAATTTGGTATTTTTTCAGATCAACCTTTTTTTAAATGGAGAACATGTGGAGACATTTGAGGAAGATCTCACATTTACTTCAGAGGAAGTTCTTTCCAATGATCCACCTAAGATGAACAGTGAATTGAAAGGTATGTTCAATTTTTATTCCTTCATGTATCACTGTGTGTGTTGGATTTTATCCATGAAGCATTTTACCACTCTATGCTACACATTAACTATTTTGCAAAATGCCTATGCTACTTTTCTTTGGAAGGAAGGAGCCTAAACCTAGCATCGTACAGTATAAAGTGTATTGGAGCTTGCAGCAAGTATTTGAGTAAACAGTTGTTCAAAATAACTAAATCTTAGACATAACTATAAACACAAGAACACTGACTTGAAACTGAAACTTAACTTAAAAGTGAACTGCAAATTTGTTAATCCAGGAAGTAAGTGGTGTTATTTTACATTAAAATAATTGCATTGAGAACGGAGAATAGACTTACAAAATACTTAAAATACAAATAATTAAAATTTGGCCATATTCCTGCCATATTCCATAAAAGAGACTTCACAAAACAAAAAAGAGTGATACCAGTGTGGTACTATTGTCACCTGAAGAAAACATACTGCGCTAATGATCCAGCAGGACAACTCCTGTGCTGCTCTTGGACTTGTCTATTCAGATTCTCTGAAGAAGAAAAGAAATTTAAAAGGAACAAATAGGTGAGCTGAACTGTACAGATCAAAACATCTACAGTAAGAAATTGTTCAATCTGAATAGCTCGTAGGAGTCAGGTACTAGGCTAAGAATTGTAGAAAATATTAGACATCTAAAGTTTTTTTTTAATGTCCTGCGTAATGGCAGAATGGCATACTTTGTTGCTTAACATATAGCACATTACATAATTCCCCTTTTGACCAGAACAGAATTTTGACCATCTTACCCTGTTCACCAGAGGACTTACAGAATTTAAAACTCTAGATAGATATTTTCAAATCTAAGGGAGATGAAGTAATTAAAGGTTATTTATTAGAGTTTTTTCTAAGAATAATATGTATGCAGAGAAATCAAAATACTAAGATTTATTCTGCGTTCTGATTGTAGGTGATGCAGTATTTCTCAAAACTGGTAATACAGCGTTTCTCAAAACCAGTAATAGAATAATGTAACCACTAATTCTAAGTTAGTGGGGAATATTCTACGTCAAGTAGAATAATTTTTGATTACAGATATAGCTGTGAAGTGTTTATTGCTCTTTGAAAGTTACTGGTATTGAATGCCTAATTGCTTTAAGTGATTTCATTTTCCCATATCATTTGAAACATGTTTTCAATATGTGATTATTTGCATGTCACACTGGTTAAACTCTTAAATATGTATTTATCTCCTGGTTAGTTCTGTTGCAAATCTAATCTCATAGCAGAATATATATGATACTTGGGAGTTCCAGGGAAGGGCATGGGAGATTTAACTAGGTCAAAAAGTAGCAAACTGGGTAAGTTAAGAAATAGGAAGTAATTTTTTCTATTTAATGAAGGGATTAGCAAAGTTCCTAACTTTTTCAAGGTACTGTCATGCTAAATATAGGTGAAACAAAAAGCTATTAGACTTCTCATTGCTCTCCAAAGTTGCTTTATCATAAGAGAAAACATTCTGAGGTGCCTGATATCTGCGTTTGAAATACTGAATTCTTTAGGCTTTACTTGAGGGTCAGCAGAAGTCCTCTGGTTGTTTCCCCTGAGAAAGACCTCTAAACTTTTGTCTTTAGTTGTAAATAGGATTGTTATTCTGGTAGTGACTAAAAGCTTACCTGCTTCTGTGGCTTGATGCATGAACAGTGAGTATGGGAAACAAATGGGCTAGACTGTGAAAGGGGTAGCTTCTGCTGAAACATTTTCTGTCAGCATTTATAAGGGGGGAAGTATTTTTCTTTATGTTTCATGGTTATCTTGAGTGTGACTGTTACTTGTCTTTGAACTGATAAGAAAGATATGTGAAAATGGATTTCAGAAATGCTACTAGAAGTGGTTCTGGGAGGGTGGAATTTGAATTCACCATTTGCCCCAGCTTTGAGGAGAATTCTTTTGTAGATTTGTTTGAGATGTTTATTAAATGAAAACAGCTTCCAGTAAACAGATGATGAAGGATAAATAATTAGGGCAATAATAAGTGGGAACACCGGAACAGTTTTTAGAACTGATTTAGTAAGGAGACACTGTCAAAGACTGTATAAGATGTTTTTTGATGGAGAAAAGACTCTGGCAGCTTATACAGTTTAAACTTTGTCGTATTTCAGTCTTTAAAGACACACTGCATTTTTTTATTGACTTGTGAATAGAACAAAATTCTTTAATATGACTCTGTGGTGGGATAAGTAAAACAAAATGAGTAATAATCTTCAGCTGGACTATTCCAGATGCTTTCTTTTGACACTGGTGTTATTTAATCGCAAATATTATTTCCCAATTAAATAAGTAGACCCTCTGATATTTTCTGGCAAATTTCGGGGCGCATTTCTGCATGCAGGTTTTTCTGGATAGTTCAGACAAACCAAGGTCAAAACAAATCTCCTAGGCAAACCATAATTCTTGTTATCGTGTATTTCAGGTCTGAACTAGAGCAGTTTCATACTAGTACGTGCTCTTTGGGGTGTAAGTGTCATCTTTCTGATCCAGCTGTATCAACAGTAGTAGTTTGCTGTGAGCAGCCCCCTGTTTGTTACTGTTTTCACTGCTGTGACCAATCAGATATGCAAGTGGAGCCAACTTTATAAGTGCCCCCTGATCAGTTTCAATCAAAATAAGTAGCATGGGCAAAGGTATACTATATAAATTACCTCTCATTGCTGTAGCAAGGCATTTTGTCACCCATGCTCAAATTAACTTTTGGGCTCTCTCCAACTGCCACAGGCTTGCAGCCTCCCTATCTGGTCAGGGCAGTAAAAACTGGGGACAGCAGAATTTGGACATATTTTCTATCTTACCAGTTTTGTTACAGCTCTCTTAAATCGGTCTGGTTTGTGTTTGATTAGTACAAACAGACCAGAGGATCAAGGAATTCTCTAGAGAGAAAAGAGTTGCAGGTGATGAGAATTTGGCTGGGTTTGGCAGCTGACACAGTTGCTTACAGAATGCCTATTTACCCATGCATTAATAGTAGATGCACTTTAATTGAAATCATACTTGAACTTAATCATATTGTTAAATTTGTTTTACATATGATTTGAACACACTTTGGTACCTTGAGAATTCATTTGAATCAGCATAGTTATGAACTTTTTTTAATACAGCCTGTCATTGGCCAGCATCTCATATTTGGCTCATTTAGAGCGTAAGATCCTTAGTACTCCATCCTTCATTTTGTTAATTTAAAAAAAAACACCACTTTGACATCATCAACAGAAGCCGTAATAATACAGAAAAGGTAGACTGATGCTTTCTTGAATAGCAGTGTATCCTACAGGCAGTGTGCAGGTTGCCCAGCATACTTGATTTACAAAACTCTCTTTTCTATTGCTTAAAATGTGTCAGGTTAACACATTAGACTGGATTTTTCGGTGACAAGCCTGTACCATATTCTGAATCATTTTTGAAAATACAAGGTAGAAACCTTTCGGAAGGTTGTCAGCAAGTTTTTGATACATTTGAAAAACGTTTGGCCGTGCTAAAAGGTCTTACAAGTGTTTGATGTGAAAATTGTGCAGTAGTTTCTTCATGTTTTATAGCAGAAATCTTTTAAGTCAAAATTTTAGAAGGGATTCTTACAATCTGCAAAAATCTGCTTAAAATGGGTTGCGTAGTACCTGAAGAATAACATTTCTCGTGTATTCAACAACATTTGTTGGCGTTTGGGAGCTAACGTGCTCTGCATTGTGAGTGTGCTGAATTGCCGCGTGTGAGCTGTTGAGAGGCAGCAGGACTTGTTGGAGCTGTTGAGAGGCAGCAGGACTTGTTGGAGCTGCTGCTTGTGCACAGCTGCTGCAGCGGGGCCGAGGGAAGGGAGACGGTCACTTCCGTGCTCTGCATGTTCCCCCTGCCGGCGTCCAGGCAGCAAGGAGAGGGGAGCAGCTGCAACCTCGTGTTCCGAAACATGAGAAAACAACAGAAAGGGGGAAGAAGGGAGGAAGTGGTAACTGAGGGACTGCGGAGTCTTCCCAGGAGTGTAAGTCTGATAGAGATGCTGGCGCCAGCTGAGCTGATAGGGTGCAGGGAAATAGGAGCAGAAGCAAAACCGGTTGGCAGTCACTCAGTTCTCTCTTCCAGAAATCTGGGATATAACCTAGGTTTTGAGTTTCACTAACAGCCTACTACGAGCAGATACTGAAACTCTGTGCAGCGAAGTGCGCGTGTCGTCTCCTGCCGCGGGGAGCAGGAACTAGATGGTGACAACCTGCTGCTGCTGTAAATCAGCACTTGCACAAGTTGGAGACTTGAACTGAACCATCAAACCTTGCAGAAACCCTATAGATGACAGTATGGTTCCTGAAAATCAAATTGAATTTGGAGGTTTGGGTTGGGGTGCGTGTGCTGCTTGCTCATGCGTGTGTATGTGTGTGGGGTGTGAGTGTATATAAATACATTTTACAAATACATATATACACATACATAACATAACATACACACCCCACTCACAAGATATGGTAATAAGGAGAGGAGCTCATGAATCACAGTTTCTTATATAAGACTGCAGTATTTACAAAATTAGTCATTTTATTTTAATCTTGGGATTTTTCCATGTAACCAAGTAAATAATCTTTATAGTAGTGAGAATGAGAGAGACATATTGTCTTCAAAGGGTGGTTGTGGCCATTTTCTACAGGCAACAAGTAGTTATCAGGACAGTAGCAATTACCTGTATTTTTAATGAGTGCTGGAAGCAGGGATGTGCCTTAATGGGGCCAAAGTTGTCAGCCCATCAAGAAATGAAAAATGACTGCTGTGTCTGCTTCAGAAATAATAGACTTCTGATACCAGCATGAATTCAAGAAGAGGTGGAAGAGGGGGTGGCTGGCACCATCTGTATCTTCATCTGTGCAAAGGTAAAAGGGGATTAAGAAAGGGCAGGAGAGACGAGTTTTGCTTCCCAGCCTGTTTTATCATCTGGTAGGTGAATGGGGAGAAAGCTTTGGCAAGCTTCATGGGAGCACTACAAACAGTGCTGGAAGTACAGACTGAAAAGATGGCTACTTCTTCAAAGCTTGCCATTATTTGTAGCTGTTATTAAAATGTGCTCATTTTCATATTGTATAGATCTGCCAAGTGGTCCACACACTTACCGCTTAGAAGACCTTGCCTATACTAGAAGTGGAGACAAAGGCAACTCCGCAAACATAGGTATTCTTAATTTTCTTTCCTTCTAAAGTGATGGAAGATTTCCAGGTAGAAACTAGGCACCAAGTGTTCTTTATATATCTCACATCAGTTGATGCTGAAATAAAAATTAATCCATGTAAACCTAGTATTTTACTAATGGAATATTTGTAGTTTGCTGTTCAGCTGCTGTTGAAATCTAAGGTATTAAAAATACATTAAAATCATGCTACAAATTTGCAAAGTCAGTTTCCCAAAGTTAAGGAACTTTTTTAAGGTTTCTTTTTTGTCTTGGTTGCTACTTACTTGTACAAATGTGTTATCTAATTCAATGTCTTGATTGATCATGCATAATATTTCCATATGTGAACTTCATAACGTGTATATGGCTAAAACATCTTTAGTGCTGGGAAATGCAGAAGTTTTTCTTACATATAAGAGTTCATTACATTGTTAATCCAAGTGGTGTGCAGTCTCTTTACATTGATTATGCTGCTTCTTGCATTGTTTAATAATCCCTTCTATTCCTTACTTCTGCATGCAACAAATGGCTCTCTTGTTGAAGATGAGAGTGTGTGGTGTTCAAAGCTCATTATGAATTGAAGGTGCGTTTGGGATTTGATTTGCTAGTAGTGCAGTAATTGTGCTAAAATTGTTCGATTTTGTTCATTTATATCTAAGGAATATAGCTTTCTTGCCCTTGTCTATGAAGTTGTCTTTTGGGGTCGAAAAATGAAGGACTCTATTTTTGTTTGAACTATAGTTGACCCTTACTGCAAAGTAGCGTTGCCAAATTGTGAACTGTAGTTAATAAATTGCCTTAGATATAGAGAAATCATTGCTTTGTTAAAGAACAACAAAACACTTGGTCTGTAAGATTAAATTAAGGTTAAATGTGGATATTCTTGCATTGGGAACCAAATTCCAGAGAGACTCAAATCTCCTGCTTTCCTGATCCTGCTGTGGAACCTCAGCTTCATTGCATAATGCTTACTAAAGCCTACTTAACAAAGCAACGTAACTGCTATTTCTCCCATTTACACCAGAATCCAGTGCAAGGTGTAGGGCAAGAATCAAAGCTTCAATTGCCCTAGTGCCCCCAGTGATCTGGTTGTGCTTTATTATGACAAATTGCAAATTCCTAAACCACGTGAGCTATCTGGAGAAGCAGACTTCACGTGGAGTGTTTGTCGTTGTGATTTTGCTGCTGTTCTTCAGATGTCTCTCGGTGGCAGAGACGTTGGCAGCCAGAAGGATGCCCAGTTTCAGTGTAGGACCTTTCCTTCATGTCATGCTTTGCATTGCTTCTCTGCTGACGAATGGATAGCTGTCATGCTCATTTATTTGGGTCTTCATTAAAAAGCAGCCATATGAATGGTTTCAAAGGAGAGGGTGCTCTCAAATCAGTTTGTAAAGAACAAGTACAAATTGATTTCAATAGTTCGTATTCCAACTAACACCTCGTATACCTGACAGGTGTGATAGCACGGCATCCCCTCTACTATCCATACCTAAAGAAAACCTTAACTGCCCAGGCCTTGGAGAGCTACTTCCAGCACCTTTTAGAGCGAGAACAACCTGAAGAGAAACTAGTAACAAGGTGAGTAACTTGCTGCTCACTCCACAGTTGCACATAGATACATGATGACATCAGATTTTTTTTTAAGTATGGTAACATACATATTCCAAACCTGTCTTTAATACTTACCTTCTTTGAATTTTTAAATAACAACTTGAACAGTAGTTTTTTAGAAAAAGAAAATGGATGCATGAACCTGGTTTTCCCTTTTGAAGCTGGTTAAAGGCAGTGGTTCAGTGTGTCAGAGGGGTTACGAGTTCTCCAACATATTAATGTTAGGAATACTTTGTTATGTTCCAGGACAGATAGGCCTCCACAAAACAGAAATAACTTTTAAAGTAATTTAAGAAATGTATTTTTCCCTCTTTTTTGAACCATTTGGAGACTGCAGGAGCCTCAGTAGCTGAGGCTTCCTAAGCCTCAGAGCCATTGCAGAACTAGAAGTTGGAAGATCCCTCAGGTGTACGCAAAGCCCCAATGATCTGCCTGATCTCTTAGAAACCCGTTTCATCCTATCACTGTCTCTGCAGGCTTTTGATTTTCATGAAGTTTACTCACTTCACAGTAGAGAATGTGTTAGTTCCCCTGCTTGGTCTCACCTATATCCAGCAAGCCAGAGTTCAGAGAGAAGCGCACGTGACGCTCAGCTAGAGCAGGGGCTGCCAGCAAACCGCGCGCGTAACGTTCCCGTTCTCGTGGCTGGTGCTTAGGGTCCTCCCTGGGGACTGGTGAATGTTCTTGCAGTATGAGATAATAGAGCTTGTGCTGCTCAGGTTTGAAACCTGCTGACTGTCGTGTGAATATACTGTTCTAATATTGCAACAGGCTATTCAGTCCGCAGTGTTTCTAAACCTGTTCTGATATAAAGTCAATTACACTGCAAAGGTCCAGAGTTCACCAGAATCCTTATATGTTTACATGAGTGCTGGATAAACCATTATGTGTGTGTCTCGGGTACTTAAAGACTCTAGCTCAAAGAGTTGAAACTCCGGGCTGAGAGAGCGCTCAGGGCTATTTTAACCTCTGTTCATTCTGGGGTGCAAGTGCTGTTCAGTAAGCGGCTCAGTGCAGATCTTGCCCGCTATGTTGCAAGTGCTAACAAACCTTTGAATCTCATAAATTCTAATACCAAGAAATGTAATTGAATTTCCTCTGAAAAAGAGCAGAGAAGGGGAAGAAAAAAAAAAAAGAAAAAAGAAAAAATGTTACACCTTCTGTAGAAATTGATTTATTTATACTTCTAGAAATTGATTTATTGTAGTTCCTTAATTGTATTTATGTTCATAAATAAAAGCTGAAGTTTTCTGTATCTGGCTAAAACCAATTTATTTTGATTAATTAGATTATCTGTTCCAGGGTTTGGCTACTTTTAATGATGTGATAATGGAGCTCTGTGAGTGAATTGAAAAACTGCCGGGGAAAAAAGAATAGATCCTTTTGTGTAAATGTTTAGGATTATAAGGATTATGCTCATGTGCTTCAGATTGTGCAGGTTGTTTTTTAAAAATACTCATTTGATTTTTATTTTTTATTGTCATAGAAAGAACTGTCTTACTCCTCATTTCCTTTACTTAAAATGAGAGTGATTTAAAATGTATATATTCTTTCTGGGACTAAAAACATACCGACAATGGCTCTGCCTCACTACCACCCAGGGGTTAGCACCAAATTGGCTTTCATTCTTCTTCCCTAGGGCTATTAAAATAAATAGTTCGACGCATGAAAAGATGGAATTATTTTTGATAGATAGAACTGAAAACTCAGAAGCTTCTGGGTTTTCAGGTAGCACAATAATGATTTTCTTTCCAAAAATATCTATGAAATTACTTCTTCCCCACCTATGTAGAATATATTCTTCTTGAGTTAATGGCAGTTCTGCTCTTGTGCAAGCCCAACAGGAAGAATCGGACCAGTCTAAGGGAAGGCAAAGAAGAGATAATTGTGTTCAGGCATTAGAACTTGCTCTAATTTTTTAAAAAGGTGTCGCCCTCCTTTTTTTGAGGGGGAGGAGGGAGGCGGCGGTTTACACAAACATTCTGACTCTTACTGCCGTGAAAAATACCAGCAAAGCGGTAGTAGGATGTAGGATCATACTACATATTAAGGGAAAGATTTTTTGTTTGTTTTTGTTTTTTTTAGAGAGTAGACATTTTGCTCATTATCTTGATAATAGTAGATTTTCTAGTAGGTCTGGTGTTTTGTATGCAATGGCTTGTAAATTGATGTGTGATGATTTTTAATAAGTATTAGAAATCAAATAGGGTTGGAGAAGGAAAGGGTTTTCTCTTTTTAATTAAAATATAGAAAAATAAAATACTTCACAAACTTCTAAATACCATTTGCTGTATTGGTCAGGTACTTTTTCATAATCTCTTGTGAGGACTTCAGTTATACCCATCCTCCATCATCATTAATTTTTCAGTTATGTATTTCCATAATAGAGAACATTATTACCATTGTACCTGTAAGTTGTTTTATTAAGCATTTTTGTTTTAGGCTTAAGAAAATGAATTGGAAACTTTTTATTTAGTTGTCATAGGCTACTTATTTGAGAGGCTAGAAAAGCAAAAATTTGCTGGTTTCTTTTTCTGTCTTTGATACACAGTTATCTTCTTGCCCTTCTGAGAGCATTCCACTGCTCATAAATCTAATATTTGAAGAATACAGGGAAGAAGACAAAGCACTGAAAAACTATGCGAGGACAGGCAAATGGAAATATGCTATAGGTCTGTTTATTAAATTTGAAACAGTTTTATTAGGAAACCACAGAGTCATTTGCCAAACTTCTGCAAAAGTTTCCAAATTGGAAATGCACAATCAAACGTAAGGATGGAAAAGCTGTGACAGCAGAACAGAAATAAAGAAGGTCTGTTACACTAAATCAGAATTGTTTTACCTAAACAAAATGTCTTATTCCAGTAAAGTGTTGAAATGAAGCTTAACTTTGGTTGTGGTTAGAACCAACTGCAGAGAATTTTATAAAGGTTTGATCTAGTGACTCTCATGTTTGGTTTTCAGTAATAGACACTATGATATTCTGATCAGATGGCAGCTGTTGATAGCAAAAATGAGTTCTGAGAATGAAATTATTCTTTTTTTTCAGTTAAAAAGAAAGATTCTAAATACTGCCCACTGTGATTTTTGTTCATACTGAACTGGAACCTCTTGCCTAATGAGCTTTCTTTTTGCTTAACTCTTAAAAATTTAGAAAACTATTTCAATTAGAAATTAGTGAGTTTTGCAGTTGAGTAAGTAGAGAATTACCGCATCTTGATTCTACCTTAACACTATTAAGGGGATTGATTTGGGGCAAGGGGCAGAGCCAAGGGGAAGGCCGTGGGTTAATATTCAGCTGTATACTTAGCTCAGTAATGGGGGACATTACAAGTTCAAATTTTTTGCACAGTCTTTGGCTTGATGTCCTGCAAAAGGCTTTTTGTTTGTTTGTTTTTGTAATCTACTGAAAAACTACTTCTAAATTTTATTTTTCAGATATGAGTTGCCAGGAATCCATGGATTAAATTTTGTTCTGAAGAATTCCCTTGGTGGTGGTGGCATAGCGTCCCTAAGAAGTGACCCACAGGCATGTATCTAAGCATTGATTTAATAGTTACCTTTTATAACTAAATATCGCATGCTCTCTATAAAGAGACTAGCTTTTTGGACTGCAGTTGTAAGCAGTATTTTTAACTCTAGTTCTTTTTAATTTCACATGAATACAGATCTGTATCTACTGCATTGTTTGAAGGCTTAAAAGCTTTGTAGTGAACTACAAAGTTGATTTAAAATATTTATGGGAAAAGTAAGAGTGTGTGTGTGTATATGTGTCTAAAAGGGTAAATAATTTGAAGGCTCTTATGAGTTCCATGTCCTTTGCTCTGTGCTACCTCTGTTTTTAGATGTTCAAGTTAAATCAAAAATGCTTAATTCTCAAAAATGCTGTCAAATTTTGGAGAATAAGAATTCATTAGACAGTTTTGATTAAGTATTTCCTTGTACATATAGCAGCCATCAACTGTGAACTCATTTTGTATTTACCAGAGTTCTACAAAGCCAAATCAAGCTAAGCCTATGATTAACATAGTTAAATTGTAGATAATTTATATAAATACAAAAGGGAGGAGAAAGAAAAGATGCATAGGAGATCTTTTGTGTTGACCACATCATTTCCGCATCTGGAGTATTGTGTCCAGTTCTGGGCCCCACAGGACAAGAGGGACGTGGAGCTGCTGGAGAGAGTCCAGCGCAGGGCCACAAGGATGATCAGGAGCCTGGAACATCTGTCCTATGAGGAGAGACTGAGGGAGCTGGGCCTGTTCAGCTGGAGAAGAGAAGGCTGAGAGGGGACCTGAGCAGTGTCTAGAAGGACCTCAAGGGAGGGAGTGAGGAGGATGGGGCCGGCCTCTTTGCACTGGTGGCCACCGACCGAACTAGAGGAAACGGCTGGAAACTGAAACACCAAAAGTTCCACAGGAACTTAAGGAAAAATTCCTTCCCAGTGAGGGTGACAGAGCCCTGGAACAGGCTGCCCAGAGAGGTTGTGGAGTCTCCTTCTCTGGAGATCTTCAAACCCGCTTGGACGCAGCCCTGTGCCACGTGCTCTAGGTGACCCTGCGTGTGCAGGGGGTTGGACTAGATGATCTCTAGAGGTCCCTTCCAACCTTCAGCATCCTGTGATTCTATGATTCTGTGATTTAGATCTGAAACTAAAATATCTTTGGTGTTAAAGATTTGAAATACCTCCTGAACCTGAAGATAAGATCCCTTAACATGGCAGTGCTGTGCTACAATGAAGTGCAATTCTGCCACCATAGGCCGAGAAATGCTTTAATTTACAAATAATCTCAGCATGGTCAACAAGACTCTGCACAAAGTAAGATAATGCTCAGTGTGAATCAAATGACAGAAATGCAGCTAAAAAAAAATATTTTTATACTAGATAGCAAACAGATAGAAGAAGCTCTGCTCAATCTAAATAGGATTAAATGTTTGAAAACCTTAACCATATAATGTTTCTTTCTTAAATATTTTGATTTAAAAGTAAGAAATTCAAATGAATGCAAATAGTAAATATAACTTGTGTGAGTATACAATCCAAGATTTCAGGAAATTCATTCCAAATTTATATATACGGATATATAAATACAAACAAAATATATTAAAGACAATGAATGCTTGTTATTTGTGCTGATTATGGAAAAAAAATCTGTTTAACAGTTTTTAGATGAATTTTACTGGTATATTTAAATAGTAAGGTTGTGGGTTTATTTTTCTTACAGGGCAAAGCACTTGGACAGATGCTGTTGGATTTCCAGATAAAGAATGTTCCTGATTTAAAATCACTTATAGAATAATAGGTGTTTGACAAATATACTTTCAACATTTTGAGCGGTGTAAAAGCATGTTATAGATTAAAAACTAGCTTCCTGAGCCCAGATATCAAAAAGATACAGAGGGGAAATTACAGTGACAGTTATCTCCTATGGGCCTAGCTATATGGACAGATTAGCAAGTGTTTTAAGTAATACCAGACTAATAGTTTTGTCTGGAACAGACAATACATATATAGACAATACATTGAATAAAGAATTAATTTATTTCCTGTAAAATAAAATTAATCCTATTGCAACATAACAATTATAGGACAGGAAGATAACCATTTGTTTCAAGAGGTAAGTTATCTCCTGTTCAGTCCATCTCTCTTTTCCTTTAAATCTTTATTTGAAAACTATATGGGCCAGTATAGTTGCACCTACTGGATCCCCTGCTCTGGGTATCGCTATGAAGTAATCTACGTTGAAAAGCATTAAACAGTAATTAATTGAAGTTCTTGGCATGGGAATGAATTTCTCAGTGCGGATGGGGGAACGCTGCGAGCCGACCACCTCTCTGCTGCGGTGGGGCAGGTGCTTCCCCCGCCAGCAGGGAGAAAGGGGGCCGGGGTGGTGGAGGGGCTGCCTTGTTTTGTTTCACCACTGCTACATCCTCATTTTGTATCGGAGTCCCACCTGGACGAAGCTAATGTAACAGTTATTTGCATTACCCTTCGTACGGAAGGGTCCCCAAACCTTTCACGGGAAGGTCCGTGCCCTGCTGTGACGGAAGAACATGTTGAATGCCCTGCACTATGTCCTTAGCCTGAGTTATCTCCCTAATTCCCTTCTTCATCCATCCGTCCATCATCTTCCTCCGTTACTGGGAAGTGTCACCACCACATACAAACCAGGATGCTCCTAAGCAAACATCTTCTGACTAAGCAGAGACTCGGAGATCTGTATCCTACTTCCTTGGAATGATATCAAGGTGTTGGGAATTCTGGCCCAGTTACTGTATTTCCTCTGCAGTAAACCATATAGATATTACAATGACTGTACTGGCATTTTATACTCGAGGTATATCTTTTCTGTTATTTTGGGGAGATCATATTAGTTGTTCAGTGCTGACAGAATGAAGCTAATATTGGATAAAATGATGAAAGTATTTTTTAAACTTCACCAAACTTCTGTGGCAGTGTTCTGAAGTCTTGACCTGTGCTACCATTACTATTAATTCCCTAGCGCCTCTTGTTAATGAGGACTATACATTGAATTTTTCCCCTATTTTATATTGCTTTGTGGAAGGTATCACAAGTAAAATCTCTGTGCAAGTTGGCATCAATTTTCCATTGAATTCAGTGGAACTATGATTTAACCACACATCTTCATTTGTGACGTGAATAAGTGACTCTCTTAGTCATCAGTACTGTCTGTGTATGCAGCATGTTTCAGTTGTTACCAAAAAAAAAAATTATCACTTCATCCCAGAAAAACACCACTTCATATTTTAAAGGGGGAGTAGCATGCTATTGCTATGATGTTTACATTCATTATTAAAAAACTGTTGTTAATAAATTAAAAGTGTATTTGTTTAATAAAGCGTAGAAAGGTTTTAAGAGAAGATGAAAAAAGATAGTGATAGACCTCAGCAGCAAGCCTAAAGGAATTTTAAAAAGATACACTAAATATATGCAGTTTACTCAATACACTGTTTAAATGACTGTAAATGTGTATGCAACTATTTTTGATTTAGAATAAACATTTGTTAAGTACAGATTTGTTTTAGTCATTAAAGTTGTTTCTTCCACTGAAAGAAAGTGATACTTGGTTTAAAGCTTAATAAAACTATGTTTTGGGGTTGTTTTTCTGGAATTTGATACATTGCCTTTTTAGTCCCCTTTTTCCTTGATACTGTTAAATGCAAAAGCAGTTTACTATTACTGTTTGCTAGAGAGATGGTTATTTGTAACTCCAGAATGGGAGCATAATTTGCTTTTAAAAAATGTAGGTATTCAGATGGATTGGAGACTATGAAGAGGTTATTTTTATTTCTGGAGTTGCCCTTTTGGGTGCTATGAAACTGTCCTTCACAAACATCTCTTACATATTTTTTTTTCCTTTTTCAGTGTGTTAAACAGGGACTCATGTAGACAAGGATTTACCTTTCCAGCTGCCTTTTGATTCTACTTTTTTTTATTTTGTGTTAGCTTGGGTGGCAGAATTGAAACAATAATGACTAGTTCATAAGACAGTGATTGATATACTAGAGATTCGTTGTAGTGGAGACTGTCTTAAACCCCTGGTAAACCTGGTAAATGTTCTTGCTGTGGCTCATCTCTGTTGTAAATAAAAGCTGTAAATTCTTTTACTTCTTTAAACTTTCTTACTATGTCTTACCTAACTCTCAAAATAAATTGTGTGTTCTATCCCGAAGTTATTCTGTAGCAGTAAACAGTCCAACCAAATACTTCGGGAGCAATCGTTGTGTCACGTTTAATAGTTTGAGGTGATTTAGTTGTGTTGAAGGTTAGCAGTGATGCAGTTTAATCTGTATATTAAAGACCTAAAGGGTGTCGCACAAAGATGATGCGAGAAGGTGAGAAGGAATGTGCTGGACTTTCAGGTTGAGGTACAAAGTACCTTTTCCTTTTAGCCATATCAAATGAAAACATTTTCCACTAAACTATGTTTTTATTTCCTTCTGAACATAATTGTAAGTGTACCACTTAAATTTGCTTTGCATCATGGCAGTTTGAGGGTAATAGGAGCACAGCCCTTGAACTTAATGCTGTTAATGTACATTTGTGGATTTCCGGAATCTGATGGTTTCGTTCAGAAATCACTTTGTTCCTCCCTCAGGCGCTCCGGGTGCTGATCTCTCAGTGCTCCCAGCAGTTCTAAGGTAGGGAAGCCTGAACCGGCTGGATTTCATGTGCTGCAACTGGATACGTGTGTGGGCTGGAAGAGCGAAGCCGTTTCATGGCTTGTCTGTCTGTCTGTCTGTCTGTCACTTACTGCCTTTCTTGCTGGTTCCACAGGGTTTCCAGACCTCAAAGTAAGTGACGGGTTGGGGGGAGGGAGAGACAAGGCTCTGTGGCGCTTCAGGTGTTACCCTCAGGTGTAGGAGGAAGTTCCCACTGCAGAAATGTCACACCTGACACCTTGTTTGAAACCCTGCCATACTCAAAGTAAGACTTTGAGCCGCCTTCTCTGGGATTCTGCTTTGCTTCTTCGGTTTCATCCCAGGTTTCCTTTACGGATCTACTTGTAATGGACCTTGGTGATTTGGGGATTAGAGTTAACTGGCATGAAGAATGCAAACACAGGATGCCTCCAAGGAGAAGCTCCCATTCGGAAATGCCTGTTTCTACCGGGACATTCAGCTGAATCTCTTGCCTTCAGCATCTGACGCTCCCTTGTTTCAACAAAGACCATTCAGATGTGCCTGGGAAAAGGAGAGGAGCTGTGAGGTGGCAATATAGGGCAGGACCAGGACTTAAGCTCATAGAAGGGAGTGAAAAACCTATCCCTGCCAGAACTGCAGTGGTCCCAGAGCCTTTGGTGGGTTCTGATTACCACCTGGCTGAGCCAGCTGCTGCACTTGGTACCGAATGACACCGGTCCTTTACAGGGGCCAGGTCGGTTAAATCTTCCTCCTCTCCCAGTCCATTAAAAGTGCACTGATGAGAGAAGAAAAAAATCCTCCCCTCCTTGGGGTTTCCTATTAGCACAAGTAAGTTTCAGCACTTCCCATGGCATGTTAGCACATGGGTCTTGAAAATAAGCTATATTCATGAGGTGTCGGTGGTGGCTGGTCCACACAAGCCTTATCAGCCTCACAGAAAGTACTTTCTCTTTTATAAGTGATGTAATTTTGAAGTAGGGGGCTTGAGGTGGCTAAGCCCCTGTTACATAAAAATTTGGCTGGGATTCTCCCCAGTAAATCCCAAATGCCTGATCCCTAGTGCTGAGGCTCTTGCTGTAATTGGTGCAGAACAAGAGGTTACTGTGAGCCTCATACTCCTTTGCAAATGCAGCAAGGCGAGCATCTTTTCCCTGAAAGACTTCAGTTACCCAGAAAGTTGTTCCTTCTGCTTTGACCAGAAGAGAAGGGGAAGGCAAGGCTAGTTTTTATTTCCAGTTAGGAAAGGGTGAAGGAATCCCCTCTCCTGATACATTTCTGCTTCCTCTTTGCTTTTCCATTCATATCGTAGCTGTTTCCCAGGAAGAGAGGAGGGATGTTGAACAATTTATCTGGTGCACTGAAGTGAGCCAAGGGTTTTCCAGAGATCTTGTCCTTAATCTTCACACCGACTCTCAGCTTTAAAGCAGCTGAGGTGGGAAATGCAACTTGCTCTTTCTACGGGGTTTGCCTGTGGAGAGGTAGCAAGCTGTTACACAGCTCGGCTCTTCTTGCTTCATTTTTCTTCGTACGACCGCGTGTGTGTTCCCTGGCGCCTGCCTGCACGTCCACAACCTGCAGGGAGTCGGCTTAGCAGAGCCGGCAACTTAGAGCCTGCAGTCGGAGGAAGATGCTCCCAAAAAAGCCCTTCCTACCCACGCAAGCCCCGGCAGTCGAGACACGTCCCTGGGGCGGAGGAGCCCAGGGGCAGGAGCGCCCGGGGCAGGGGCC